GAGAGTGTTGTACGATCGAGCGTAGGAAGCCTAACGCCTGCAAACTGCATTGTGAGCACGAGAAAAAAAATGTAAAAAGAATTAAGAGCAGGGAAATCGTTGTCAGAGATTCAGAGATGTATTTTGCGAGACATTTGCTAACGAATCACGCGCACACTTCTCGTGGCGCCAACGATGCTCATTACTTCATGTCATGCGGTTTTTCGAGTTCGAGTGGTGCGCGCGTTTTGTCAGACCCGTAACGTCGCCCTTGCGCGATACAATTTCCTTTTTGATCTCCGTTACAATGGCATAAGAGTTGCTCGAGAAGCTGAAAGGGGAGAGAGCTTAAGCTTCGATCGTCGCGTGCCGCCTACGTAAAGTCAGCGATTTAGAGTACGCATATCCGAGGGAATGACGACGTTAATGACGATGTGCTTTGATGTGCCGGTCGTATAGTGGAAAAAGTCTCCCGCTTACGTAATTGTTTTGTAAACTGAACGCGATGCTTTGACGGCAACGTCACGTGGGCGTGGGATTGAAATGTGTACGTTTAACGAGGGAAAAGTCCCCGCATTCCCTCACACACGTGCGAGTTTGCGGTCGATAATGGATTCTACGAGCGATTTAGATCGCGTGGAATTAATACGGGCGGCGATAGCGCAATCAGTGATTTAATTATAAGATTCTTTCGAGTTTAATTATCAATCAAATCGATCGCTCGAGCGTTTCATCGATTGATATCGCATATCAAGGCATCGCATTCTAGATCGAATACATTTTGCCACTAGATATATAATAACATTTATTATGTATTAAAAGTTTTGCAAGAAATGAAAAAAAAAACGATTATTCGTGCTTAATAATCATAGTTTGTCCTGCAAATGCTGGAATGAGAATAAAATAAATAAACATATATATATATTTTTGCGCTTCAACTCCTCATATCGAAGTTATATAAGAGCTGTGCAAATACCGTGCTCTCATATGCCCGAGTTATGGCATTTATTAGTCACCTAAGGTCAATATTATGTTGGTTAATAACATTTCTCATTAAGACGCACTTTGACGCGGGGATGCGTAGTATATTATTAATCGATTATACATTGTATATTAATTATTAATGATTCTATTTATTTTCTTACAATATGCTATTTCGTGATATCATGAAATAGAAATCTCAGTCGCGTTAATAATAGTATAATACTTTCTAGCACTTCTAATGTTAGATTTTAATCGCTGCGTGCATTCATAGAATGTGAAAATAATGAGCAGTAGATTTAGTAGGTTAATTAGGTTTTGGCAATAAACTTACTGTTACGTGTTCAGCATTGCAACACTATGTCGGGCGACACTGTGTCAGTTAGGCAAGACCGCACTTACGGCACGTACGATCATCCGAACTTTATTACTGTGGAATGAGAACATTAATTGCGGCTTTTCATGCCGGCGTCTATTAGCGCGTGGAATCAAACACTTGATTCATAGCCATTCGTAATTACTATGGATTGAAAGAAAAAAATTCTCTTTTCGATTATATTTAAGTTTTTTGTTTTTGACAGCTAATTCTCGTCTCTTCTTCTCGCGTTTCACAAGATAAAAAAGAATATCATTTTTATACAAACTTTATTCGACCCTTTTTCTGGATATTCTCGAAATCCAGTCAATTCGAGCGCCTTTGAACGCGGACACTCAACGCTTCGAGGACGGCTGAATAGCCGCCGGTCCCCCCTTTCGTTCCTCCAATCAAATCCACTTGGAGAGAGACGGGATAACGAGAAATTTCTCTATGGGGCAAAGCGTTGCAGGAATATCTGGATATCCGATTCAATAAAAGGAAGTAGGAAGGTGGCGAGAGCGGGAGTCATAAGTCGCTGGAGAGGAGTGTGCTATATAGCCGCGGCTCTTCCGCTTTTCCCGAGAGAGCCGTCGTTTACACGGTGTTTGCAGGGGCGCGACATTTATCTCCGCGCGAGCGCAACAAAGGCGCGTAATGAGAACATGTGTTGGACGCAGGAAGCTTCATTAGCGAGCCTGTACCCGTTCTCCAGGCACATTTTACCACCTAACCGTCTGCGATGCGCCGATACCGAGAGCGCTATTTTTTGGTACCGCCAGGCTTCCGCGGAATGTGTCAGCAGTCGCGTGCTTTCTTCGAATTACGAAGCTAAAAAAGTACAACAGTTGATTTAATGCCGAGACACTAATAGCTTTCGAATTACAAATGATTGATATTTAAGAGCTCAGTGATATTAAACTTGACTTCTTTATGCAAAAAATTTGAAAGAATTATTTTTAATCTCGTTGAAAATTATCTTATGATTTCTGCATTTTAGATGCTTGTTAATTTAATTACCCGTTGCGATTTATTGTTGTCGATCGGAACTCGCGAAATAAAATTTAAAAAAATGTAGATACAGTAATAATTTGTATTTAATTGAATTCAAGTTTCTGTCGTACGATTGAGTAATATTTTTATTTACAGTTTACGTCGAGGACCAGGAGCTAATGTGCAGGACGCCAGTGGGTATTCAGCTCTTCATCACGCAGCTTTAAATGGGCACAGGTATAGTATCTTGAATATTTATCAGAAATATTGCAATATCGTTATTAGACTGTCAAAATTATCGATTGATACTCTGTCGAATTTTCTTAACGAACTTGTATTTGTTTTCAAATTTCTCTAATGTTTCCTGAAATATTCATTTGCAGAGATGTAGTCAAATTACTACTCCAATATGAGGCTTCCACGAACGTTGTCGACGCCAAGGGTTCCTCGCCGCTTCATTTGGCAGCTTGGGCGGGGGACGCGGAAATTGTACGACTAATTCTCAGCCAAGGCCCGTCGGTTCCGAATGTGAATCTTGCGGTAAGTAGTTGAATGCCTCATGAATATTCTGATAGTATAAGTGTATATAAATTGGTCACTTAAAATGCATTTTTACAAAAAACTGATATTTTTCGTAGTTTTTATTTTAACTAAATATTGTAAACAATTTTTTTTTATATTTTATGCATGCCAGCAGTAAACTACTATAATGCATTTTAATCGAAATATATCTTTGTTAATGCTGCGAGTCAATATGTATTATAAAAAAAAAAAATTCTAAATATCGATTTTGGTTACAGACACAGGATAACGAAACTGCATTGCATTGTGCCGCGCAGTATGGACACACGGAAGTGGTGGCACAGCTGTTGCAGTACGGATGCGACCCTAGTATCCGCAACAGCCGCGGAGAATCCGCGCTCGACCTTGCCGCACAATATGGCAGGTAAATAGGATATATGACTAACTTTTTTTCGATTCAGATGCACATTCTCGTAAACTTTCATTGCATTTGCGGGTATTTAAATCTTATCGATCGATGATATTTCTTCATTGACTTAATCGTGACGTTTCTTACAGATTGGAAACCGTGGAGTTACTCGTGCGAACGCATCCCGAATTAATCGAATCACTTCGTAATTCTTCCTCATCTCTGATCTTCCCGCATACACCTTTGCATTTAGCTTCGCGCAATGGGCACAGGTAAGAGTTTGTTTATCGGCGCACATATAAGAGAATGACTTTTTTAAACAAAGTTGCTAAACATTTTTAATCGGATTAACTTTCAAAAACTTGTTTAATAATTTTGAAAAAATGTTGGATTTTTTCCTCTTTTTATTTTTATAAAGTTTATGCTAAAGTCACTCACTTTTCATCAAAAATCAATATTTAATGCAAAATCTGAAATTGCCTTGTGTCGCAACGCAGCGCGGTGAATAAAAATTTACTTACCATAATAAAACTATCTGATCCGAAGATTGGACAATCTGCCATGCATATCGATTGTGTACCGTTATCACATTGGAACTTCACACCATGCATCTGTAACAAAAATTGCAAAATTCTTACTCGAATAAATCTGTATGAACAATCCTTTAAATATCAGTGAGCTTATACAAAATTTTTATTAAATTAAAAAAAAAAATATATGATTCGCAAAAGAACACGGCTATAGATAAGATTCGGATTTTAGCTGTTTTGGTTGTATCTCACTGCGACAAAGCGGATTATAATGGCGCCATTATTCGAGTACTCGTTGTGTTTATCTAAGGACCGCGTATCACTTCTTCCCGCGAAATGGTCACGCTAATTACTGGATAATGCGCGACGTGTATTGTGTCCGAGTACAACAATGGACTCGTTCGAGCTAACCATAACGATGTCGAGCCATTTGCAGCGCTGGCCATTAGAGCCAATCAGAGAGCACCGCGTTGCGTAATCCCGTCGAATGCGATATATGCGTCCTCCGACTGGCATGATCCGATCCAACCCTCTACTGGTTACACGTCCCATATTACCGTCCCGTCGATTGCCCTCTCGTCCCTCCTCGAGCCACGCGAATGCATCCGATCGCATCATGCCGGCAGCCGCTCTGTCCATCCGTGCGGATTGCTGACCGCCTCCCGATTACGAGAATCGTATTAATCACTGCCGCCGAAACGTATCGACCTATATTAATCGCGACCGTAGCAGCGAATGGTCGCGATTCTATGCCGCAACGAGATACCATTCCTCTGCGTCCCGAAAAAATGTCGATTTTCTAGTATTACACTATAGTTTCATACATAATAATGAGATATCGCGTCGCTTACGTAAATTTAATAATATAACGAATAATCAATTACCTAGTATTGAACTAAAAGTGGAAGAACCTCTTCTATGTGGTATAAATAATGCCGTAATCATAACCGTGTATCTCATGTAATATTATTGAATTAATTGAACCGCGTTAATAGGATGACAAAGAAGCGAGCGGATAATCGATTAACGTCGAACCCATATGATCAGATGGCGGAGATTAATACCGCCGCTATTTTCCCGGATAAACATGAAAGATCCTTGGCCTCTTAGATCGCGATGGTAAAATTTCATTTCGGCGCGCCGTAACATCTCCGTTACCTCGTTCCGCATTTAGCATTTGGTGTCGAGCGATACGTTCTCGTTTAACAGGGCGATGCCAGTCCGTAATCCCGCTGAGCTTTTTGTATAATCGACGCCACGGAGACGAGAGTGGCGGACAGCGAGGGGATCGATGGTCGTAACAGTCCGGTTGGCGGTCGAATCGAATCGTGAATCGCCGCGAAACGGCAGTCACATTGTAATCGGGTATAACGCCGGTTTTTCTATGCAGCCTCGCAGCCGGTAATCGCTTTAACCGGCGCTTGCCGCTTATAATGCGATCGTATCGCGATATACAGTCCGGTGGCTGCATTTTCCGTCGATGCCGGCGCGAGGGTGCAACAGAATTGGTCGGGTAGGGGTGGCGGTGTGGGGTGGGCGTGGGAGAGAGAGAGCAGCGTGCAGAACGTGACATTTTATCGCTCGAATTTTGGTTAAATAACGGCGCGCGAGACGTTTGCGCCTGTACGAGTGAAAACGCGGTACGCACGAACTGTTTGAGCGTTTGACTAGATCAGCGTTTCTCAAACTACGGCTATAGAAAATATCATGAAGAGTGATGAGGATCTCGATGCGTTCAAGAGCCGGATGAATTTTTGTACTTCTGTAGTTAACCGCGAATGACGGATAGCATAAATTTGTATGCCAGTAATATGCAAAAGGCTTATCGTAAAATTAGATTTTTACCTTACATTTCCATTGTACTTTATATCACTTTATTTTCTCTTCCGTGATACGAATATATATATTCGTGATTATTTAAGCGATAAGCCCTTTTCTCCGTTCTGAATCTACTTATTGGACTTAAAAAAAATCACAAGATTTGAGAATCTCTGGCGTACGTGTACGCGCGCACGCAGTGGGATGCATACATTGCGATGGTCGAGCTCACGCACGCGTTTCACGCGCGCACCACAATATTTAGTGGATCTACCAGCGCAGCTATATGGTGCTAGAACAGGAGGGGTTGCGGGGAGGGGGCTGCTGGCAGAGAGGGATCAGTTCGAGGGGGTAGGAGGGGCGAACGCGGAGTAATGTCTATTATCGGATTCAATATCGGTGCTCTCGGTAAGCCAGTATACAAATACCCCTATGCTACGGTAATAACAACATAGGTGCACGCGAATCCGATCTTCAGCCGCCAATCCTATATGCGACGGCCGGCTGCGATCATCGTAGTTGGCGCATCCGATAGAAGGCGGGCGAAATCTGTGTTTTGAGCTTTCGAGGCGCTGATGGTAAATGCATTTTTGATAAAGTTTCGATGGCTTGCAGGACGGACAGAGTACATAATCGAGGTCGCAGAGTCGAGATGTTCCGACCATTGCAGATCGATTAAAAGCTCCGAACTGACTTCGATCATATCCGTGATTTATCGTATAAAGCTTCGGTATTACAGTCAACAGATTATTGCCTTATTTTTATTCTATGTTTTTAATATTTTTTCGAATTTTTCTTATTCTTTATCTTGCTGAAAAATGACAAATTTCACACGAGCGTGATTCCGAATAATTGTGGAAGCGCCTTGCAAATTTAAGCGAGTTCTGTTACATTTGTAATAAACGTAAAACAAAATTCAATGAGACGTTTGTATAATTTCTTTGCAGAGCGGTTGTGGAGGTCCTCCTCGCCGCTGGAGTTGACGTCAATACGAGAACGTCAGCGGGCACTGCGATGCACGAGGCCGCACTCTGCGGCAAGATGGAAGTGGTGCGGGCGCTCTTAGATCGCGGAGTGGATTTGGGCATTAGGGATTCCCGGCAGAACACGGTGCTCGATCTTCTGGGACAGTTTCCGCCGCACGTCACACAAGATATCACGGCGGTGATAAAAAGTACGGTCGCGTTTGCATGCAATTTATTTTCGCAGCGTCGTAACCCACATACGGGCGAGTTATGTAATTAGTGGAGTTTTCGTCGAAGAAACGTAGCGTTTTTAGTGTACCGCGGCGTTTAATTAAATCGCTCGTAACTATATGTAAAGATTGCGTGTATTTGCATAACTTTATATTATGCACAGCTGAAGATGCAATTAATCCTGCGAACTCCACTTCTGTATACATTTTACACGCGAATCATCGGAACGTCTATAATTTTAAATGTTTTAATTTATATCTCACAATAATTACTCTCATTTCTAGAGATTATGCGAAACAAATTATGAAAAAAGTAGGTTAAATATTTTCGCTACTTTTTTCGCTGTTATTCTGCATTGCACGCGCGTTTTATCAGTTTTATTTGTTGATAATATTTTTAATTAGTTTTACACGAGAGAGCATGGTGTACGATTACATGCATTGTCGGCTTTGAACAGGGCATCGGTCATCTTCCGGTGTGGAAAGCGACGCTGACAGCGAGAACTTGCCGCCAATTCCGGTGCAGGGTGGCGACTCATTGGGCAGCCCCTACGAAAATGTTCGTCCGGGGGATGATCTCTCCCCCGCGGAAGGGACGTCGCCTACGCAATGGCAATTCTATCACAAACCTCGGGACGACGATCGCCGCGTTTCCGGCACATCTTTGTAAGTACTTTTTGCCCACTTTGACTCGTCGCATGTTGTGTATTGCAATTATTTTTTTTTTTTTTTACAACGTTGAATCTTATTTTTTTCTTACGCTACGACATTGCGATAGATAGCCGTACGCTTGTTACAGAAAATGTGTGTATTGGTATTAGCAAGATATTAATCTGATCGTAACCAAACATTTGTGTTACAAGCGAAGTATTGCACGAATATCAATACGCGCCGATAATATCATTAAGATAGCATATTATCGAAGCGGACTGTTCAAATATTTTCGCATATGGAAATTAGAGTATTAATTAATATCAATTCCGACAATGTACGTGCAATAATAAAAATTGCGCAAACAAATCACATTCATTCATTACATTCTTACAAAGGCTGCGCATCCGTACATTTGCATACATATTCTCGTGGTATTATCATCCGAGCGGATTGCGACTTTGCGCATAAAATACAGCGGGAAAGCATTTCTCCGTCATTCAGGCTATCTTCGTAGAAATCTCTCTGAAGGAGTAAAAATCGCGATGGTATTGCATCGGGCGAGCGCGGAGAGGAGCGCTCGTAATATTTTGCAAAAAGACTCCGTATAATATAGGTGCGCGCACAAGCGGTCGCGGCTGTGCTTTAATATAGGAGATGTTGGACAAACAAAAGCGTAGATGTGGACGGAGCGCGGAGTGAATGAGTGAGTACCGGCCAAGCACCCGGGACGATGACGGCTGGTGCTGGCGCTGCCGCTGTTACCCGTAGGAAGCGGTGGAGAAGGTCGGAGGTGGAGGTTCTCGGACCGAAAAGGGAACCTGGATATGCCGGCTGGCGCCGAGGGGGGCGCGAGGGAGAGAAGGGGGATGGGTGGTAAAACGCGAAGGTGGAGGAAGAGGTTGGAGGAGGTGGCACGACCGCGTGTAGCCCCAGCGCGTTAAGCACCGCTTGGCTTGGTTTAATTTTCCTGATGTAGGCAGGCGAGATGGTGGGTCCGACCGCCTCGTTCGCCCCTGGGTCACCCCGCTGCATCACCCCATTGGTACTCTCTGTGCCGGTGCTGGCGCTCTAGCTGCTAAGCCCGACTGGTTGGCTCGGGTACGGTGTGTGCGAGAAAGACGAAGACACAGGGGGGCGATAGAGAGGCGGAAAGAGGGAAAAGTGGACAGGAAGGGAGCGAACGAAGGAGAAAGAGGGACACGCGATGTATACATGCGGAAGAGGGAGGGAGAGAGAGAGAGAGAGAGAGAGCGAGAGAGAGAAAACGTGGGAGAGCTACTGCCGTTGATGTTCCGCACTTCTACCATCAATGTTTGACGTTGGTAGCCCCGGCTTGGCCGCCGCCTCGAAATGAATCCATCACGTTAAACAATGTAAATGTTAGCCCGTCTCAGCATAAAACTAATAACCATCGCTCTCTCCCTCGTGCTATGAGCGCGCGCGGCCTCCGCAAAACCCCGGGGACCAGCTCCTTTTTCGTCCCTCTTTCTCGCGTTCACCGCGTTCCATCTCCGTCGTGGCCTCATTAAAAACAAAAAAAAAGAAAAGCCGGCATTTGAATGTCTTCAATTGAGTCGTGTTTTGTCAATGAAAGCAGCTACCTATTTATACGATTTTTTTATACGATTATATTTACATCCTTATGCAGCACGGGGGGACGGGGGGTACTTTCTTACTCTTCACGAATGTTTTAATGTTTTCGACATTAACATCTCATTATTCACGAATGATACAATTTTAAATATTTGATTTTTTGGCGTAATAAAAATAGAATATACGATGTCGGCTAGTAGCGCATAGTTGAATAGCAATTACTCCGGCTTGGCCGATACACGATACATATTACACTGCTTGGCTTTGAATGTGATTAACTGTTGAGAATCGATGACGATTGACATCCCGGGGATACGCGTTTCAGTGAAGACGAGCAGAACGGGGAACCGATGAACGGAATACGGAGGGCCCTCCAGCAGACAGAGGACTCCGACCCCAGTTCCGTCTTCGACAGCGTCTTTATGTCCCTATCCGACACTCTCAACTCTATAAATACTCTCGAAAGTTCCGACCAAACTCCTGAAGATATACCACAAAACACTACCAAAAGAACACCATTACCACTCGACACTACACGGTAATTGACATAGAAACATTTTGCACCGTAGATATAGATTACACTAGAAACAACATGACTTTTTTAATATCGATGTTTTTTCGATGTAATTGAGATTAGTAATAGTTTATGTGCATGCATTTCGACATAGAATATTCATCGGACAGCGTCCGCGCGTAACTGACGTGTTGCTCGACGATTCTATTATGCTTTAGATTAATTTCGAAATACGGAAAGTACATTAGTGTACAAGATAAAGCGGCGTATACGTGAGAAATCTTTCTATTGCTCGCTGATCAATCGAGCGGAAGCGCACGTTTCTCGATCCGCCGAGTCGATTTATCATCGACCAATAATAGATCGCCGATTAATCCCACTGAGACCCCGGATTTTCGTTGCACAGGGGTTCCGACAGCGGACTGTACCAAACTCCACCCGTGCCACGCGGCACAATGGAGGGTAGCTTCGTGTCAGAGGACCTGTCCTTGACATTGCCCACGGGATACGGGGGCAGAGAGTCCGACCAATTGAGCGTGTCGTCATCCTCGAGCGTCGGCGGACCGAGCCCACGGGACCGTCGTTGTTTGCCAAACGATTCCAGCGCTGCTGGGATTTACTTGCCAATGGCGCCCTTGTCCAGCTCGCTGCACAGCCCCGCTTCCAACAGTAAAGTCTCGGTAAGAGTCTCGGTTAATCGAAATTAGCGTCGCAAATGCAGAAAAGGATATGAATATACAATATACAATACATATGTATATCCGAAAGTCAGATGGAGAAAATAATCTCGCGTACTTCTCCAAATATCGTAAATTTAATTTTTTAACGCGGGAATATTTTAACGCGAATATAAATTTCGCGAGTGTAGAGAAATATTATCTTCCTCTTTCGCAGCCGACACCGCCCAAAAAACCACCTAGACGAAACCTCTCGGTGTCACCGACGCACCTACAGACGCAGATGTCACTGTCAGCTGACAGCTCGGTCGGACCGAGCAATTACGAGTATTTGTTCTTGGCGCGCAGCGGCGCGCGGAGTCACATCGATCTTGAGCAACTGCAAAAGCGTCGCGATCAGCTGCGACACGTCACTCGAAGCATGGACCAGTACGTGGAGATGAAATCACGTCTGGTCGATGAGAAACGCGATCCTAACGTGGAGCCGGTTGCCATAACGTCCATCTACGAGAATCGACCGGTCAAAATGCTGAATCCACGAAGAAAACTACGCAGACACGCTTACGAGAATTACGAGCCGGAGAGCAGTTCGTGCGCCGACAAGTCACCCTGCAGTGACGGCGACGCGGTGCTCCAGGAGCAAACATTCGTGTCGAACGCCTTTCTCACCTTGAAATCTTCCCAGGAGAGTCTGCTCGACGAAAAGCGCGAGGCTGCGGACGGGCAAGCTGCGCCGGAGAATCGCGAGGCCACCGATAAACGTCTCAAGCGCGTGCAGATGATGCTGCCGACCAGCCCCACGCATTACGTTCAGCCGCCTACCCCCGATCATCCGCCGCCGTCCGCCATGCAAGCGGAAAAGTCCATCCACGAACGTATTCGTCCGCTTAGCCAGGTAAGTGCCGGTAGTCCTATCGATAATTACTGCACGCGAGGTCAACGTGTTGGCAAACATACGACGCAGAAAAAATAAAGATAGCGAGCACTTAATGACGGATCATTAACAGCGCGTGATAACATCTTATTACGAACTTCCGAGGCAACGCAATTTCCAGGCGCATTTATCGCATTATCGAAATAAACTTAATGATTTCTCCGCTTCCCGATAACTCTCTGCGGAATTCTTTTGAAAAAAAAAACTCCCGTATTTTCCGCGAAATAAAATTGCTTTAGAATATCATATCGGCAAGTTATGAACCGACGGATAAGCAACTAACGTCGATCTCCGCATTAACTCGGGCGAGCGTGCATGCAAAATTCTCGATTCCCCGCGAGAATTCCGCAGTTCGTTTCAAACGGCAGGCAAATGGGAGCGTTTCTGCGATTTGTCGCGCGGCACCCAGCGAGGCGTGCAACGGCGGCGTTCAATTTTGCATCCTCCGCTGCTCCTTGGAAGTACGGCAATAGGTAGACGCTTATGCATCCGTCTCGTATGTCGAAATACCAAGCTATAACCCCGCTGACGTGTTAGGTTCGCGGAGATCGCAAAGTGATTTGTGCGAAACTGTCGATATATCTTTGTAAAATACTTGTCGACGGCTGAGATCGTCCTACGAGCCGTCTGTGACGCAAGAACTTAGCAACGGATATTCGCTAAGGATTCGCTATTAACGCTCTCACTTGACCCGGTGCCTTGGACAGTAGATAAGCAGCCGACGTGGCGTCTTACCAGGTTACGTTTAATATACAAGCTGTGTTTGATCTGTGATGCGATTTACAAGGAGTCGACCCTCTGCCTCGCTCTCAGCCGCTGTCGCTGAGCTTCGGCCTGTCTCGCTCGTTTGCTGCCGTTTGCGCGTCGCCCTATGATCGTTCTGCTGTGAGACCGACTACGTTCAGTTCCCATCGCGAATGGATATCCATAGCATACCACGCTGCTTCCAGCACATTCCTGCTTCTCTCCCTCTCTTACTAACTCTCTCTCTTTCTCTCTCTCTCTCTTTCTCTCTCTCTCTCTCTCTCTCTCTCTCTCTCTCTCTCTTTGCTCTTTCCACGGTGTCTCTCTGCCGTTCCCTATATGCATTCGCAATCCGTGTCTTTCAGTCGGCTATACACGCTTGACGAAATATCACACAGTGAATATATCCGGAAAGGAGTCGGCGAACGCGACGAAGACGGTGAGCCTGTGTGTACAGTCGGTGGCACCGTGTAGCATCGCTTGCTTGAGAGATAATCGATGCCTTCATCATGCGAGTTTGTATGATGAAGATAGACAGATACTCGCGGTATGTTTCATACATCCTTTCTGGCTTTCTCGATGATTTGCAAATTGTTTGTTCCTTATCGAGATATAAGACGATTCTACACGCTTTCGATTTCTAAATCTCTGAATTAATCTCAGCTATCGCGTTGAAAGAGAGAAAAAAACAACAAGAGATTTGTCGATTTCAGATGTAACGATGTCGAATAATACAATGCATCGAAAGATCTAGTCGAGAAGATATCTCGGAGAGCTATGGGTCAACTAAATCGCTCGACTTGCGCGGCTAATATCGCAACATCGGTCGGTCGATTCGCGGATTGCACTCGAGTAGTATATTCTCAATTCGCCGAGCGGCTGATATGATTCGATGACGGGGATCGAACGCTATTACGGCAGCTGAAGACAGCGCGGCGGCCCGGCGCACGGAGGCGGAGGGTCTCCATGAACCTGTCGGAGGACGTGGGGAAGAGACGGGAGAACCATCCACGGATGGTTGCTTCTCACCCGTCAACTTCCGCGAATCCAGCAGAGCGGCAGAATGCAAGACGCCGACACCCTTTGAATAATGAAGCCCTCGGCTTCTATGCCTGTCTGACTTCGCCTCGCGAACGCTCGTTCTCCTTAGGAGAGAGAGAAATTCGCGAATTTGTAGCGACGGTTTCCGGCTGTCTCCTTGAGACGCTCTCGGCGTTTTACAGATGATACCGCGATCGTCTGTCAGTGCCTGTGACGTCAAATTTTAATTGCGTTAGAGCCTTTCCGGGACGCGCGCGATGAAATAGCGAGCTGCCGTCTCGCAGTTTGCGCTTAGTAAATCAGGACGCGAGGTCGCTCTCTTTGAGTGGTGTGACTCGGTGGCAGTTCTCGGTGGTTTACGGACATCGCCATTAAATATAAATGGCGTCATGTTTCCAACTTGTTATTAATATTGCAGAATATAAAAATACACAAATGTATGTGTAATTAAACGTAAACGCGCACAAATTATGCCGAGTTGTAATTCTAATTATTCCAGCATCGAGGCTATTCATCGTGCAGTTTTTTTTTTCCTTTACAGTAAAAATTATTTTTGATGTGTAAAGTAATTTCGATATAACTGCATTGCAATATTTGCGCGGCAACAATTCTCCGCGGATCATAAAATTCGAGAGTGCTGGAAAAATCGTATTATATTTGTCATTTATGACTCGCCGTCAGCGAAATCGAAAGAATTAATGTCAAAAGGTATAGATTTTTATTCGAATAAATAAATATGCTTTAGGTTGACCACGCGTATTTATTTTCCCTCCGATTTACATGGCATATTTCTCGCGTGCCTGCGCGCGGACGTTTCGTTTCAATAAATTTTCATCGCGATAGGATTGGCTTCATTTTTCCATCGTGCGATTTGCTACCGCGACGCAACGCGGATCACGGGGGAATTTTTATATCGACTGTAAATATCCGTGTATAAAATACGAATGTTGACAATTTTGCGATAACAGCAATACGCGCAGAGTAATAGTGGTCGCGGGCAAATTTTACTCGCAGTATTTACTCGCAATGCCACAACGGATTTTCGGCGAGGCATCTCGCATTTTTCTTCAAGAAAATGATTTGTCAATAGGTGTACAAGCGAAGATCCCGCGACATGGAGACGGAAACCGACGAGGATCTGCTGCAGTTTCCCACCGCTGGATCACTGGATGCATCCAGCGGCTCGCTGTCGAGCGTATCTCTGTCTGACAAGAGCATGTCCACGGACAATGTTGAGGAATACTTCGGCGACGTGCCGTTCGCAGGTAAACAGCAACGCACGCTTGGCTGCACCGCATGACGCTTCTTTCTGCCCACGTGTACATGCATAACCGTTGTGTTACGTCTCTGTCTTTTTACCGTTTGCCTTGAAACACCGCTAACGCGACGATTGGGACGTATCTGGGGATCACGCACAAGTTTTTCGGGATCTTCCCCTTGTTCGAGTATATAGTGTGTCGTTCGCTCATATCGTTGACGAAAACAGCAGAAAGGCTATGAGGCGAATTGTACATATATGTATAATGGTATCTGGAAATCGTGCTGTTGCAATCGTCTTACGTATGTGTTAAGTTGTTTTCACCCAGACTCATTGTTATCGCGACATATCTATATTTATGGCGTTCGTGTAAAGTATATTTTTGTGTGTTTGCGACCTGGAAGGTTCGCCAATCTGTGTAATAACAAAAATTAAATCGGTGATTTTTTTTTCCTGGTTCAGCTTCCTCGAATTCACTTACTTATCACTCGATACAGATATAAGAGATGCTGAAGTATTACAAGCCTTATCTATACTTTTATAATAAAATACAATAACGAAGCAGCTGGTCTGCGTATAATAGATTACAAGTTACATTCTTGAAGCAATTATATATATATATATATATATATATATACACATTGTTTGCAATTAAAATTTATTCCAATAGTAGCTCGGTAGCTGATTACCTAAGTTCGCATATAAGATTGTCATGCATCACTACGTCAGAGAAGTTGAGATAAGAAGACTTCACAAAAGACGTACTTTGCATATTACGCGCAAACTATTAAGTATTATAGTTATATTTGTATACTAAGCGTGTGTGTGGCCGGGCGATGTCTTATCAATACAAGTGGTATTTCTATTTCCATTAATTTATATCCAAATAATCTATTCATTCCAGAGCTATTTATCTTTTCACTCTAAAGTGTTTTATCGCACTTTTGTAATACCGTACCAAAACGAACCTTCCGGGCTTTGCTTCCGAAAGAACAGATAAATCACGCGGAGCAGTTTTCTCTCCGCAAGAGAGAAAACGTTTCGTGCGACGTAGATCTTCCTCGGCTTGATCGAGCCGGATGTACCTTAGCGTCAGGAACATCGAAAAAAAAGGTCGGAATTCGGACGCGTGGTGATAGTGTCAGAAGAGTTACAGTTCGCTATCCACTTTATCGGAATTCACTGTTTTTCTTTGATTTTGGGCGTCGATATATGAAATACAATCGATGCATCTGTTCCTCCGCCACGAAGCGGCCCTCCGGTCTTTCTATGGTAATAAAATCCGTCGGGTCTGGATTTCAATCTTTGCCGACGCAAAGCGAAAGACGTGCCGCGCAAGCACAATCGTTGCGCAAAAAAAAGCTAACGATCCGAGTTCGTTATTCGGGCCAGCTCGGTGCTCCCGGTTATCGGTGGTTATTCCCGGCTAATCTAATGGATTAGGCGGTGTTCTTCGTAGCGAATGATAATTCGTAGTAGAATTTCCCGGAAAGGGAGTGTTAACTTCACGTTCGTTGTGTAGAGATGTTAGAGGTATTAGGGATTTTGCGCATGTTACGATTAGAAAATAAATAGTTCCTTAGATAGTTGGTATATTATCTTGTTACGATATCAATGTGTGTACATATCGATAGACTTGCTGTATTACATACATATCTTCACTTCTATCTTTGCGTTAGTCCGTCAAAAGTGTACGCAGGACGAATGAGTTTCGATTGCGTCGTATGTTATACTTGACATAAGTGGTAGAGATATGATAACTAGTCCGTTAGAATTATCGTCGTAAGTAAAAATCATAGCGATATTTGATAATTCTAATAATATTAATGATATGCATAAAGTTTAATACACATATATTATGTACGCCTCTCGTGCATTTATCTCGCGTTACTTAGCTTTACTGCAATTAAATTTTTTTATTTTATATATAATGCGTTTTTGTTTTCTTTTTTTTAATAATATATAATATTTGATATTATATGGATCGTGAGAAATGCAACATTTGCATATCGAATGCGTAATTCAATACGCAGCAAATCGTAACCGTAAGGCTATAAACGCTTGAGAAGAATTTAAGATTGAAAAGACTGGAAATTATATCGCAAAAAGAGACAGTTGTTAAGTTTTGTAATTAAAATTATATATGCAAATATATTTTTGAATAAGTAGATATATTCTATATTTATATATACATATATAATGAGTTGTTGCTGTAGCAGAGTAAGTATGGTTTCAATTGTCTCTCTTTATTGAATCATATATTAAATTTTTATATATTCTCTGTTTCTCTAATATTACGTATACAAAATATCGAAGCATATCCAAAATATAAATATACTCTTTGTAGCGTTGCTGAAACTAAATATCGTGTCTTTTTCTGGTCTACATATAATATTATATCCTATGATAATATTAAAATTGCATCACGATCATTTTTATCTTTATTATATATAAATTAATTCATCGCAGCGTACATACGATACAATCCTGTATTTATTCACTTTAAGCGCGTAATAAATGCAGTCTAGTTATGAATTATTATACTTAAATTGTGATCAATTTTGTGATCTTCTGATTCGAATATATTTATAACATTTATGAGACTCTGCAATGAGAGGGGGGTGTTGTATGACGCATTAAAAATTCTGTTTGACAATAATACTTATATCTTATTTTGCGATTCATTTCATTTTATTTTGCGTCAAAGCTTCGTCTAAATATTATAATGGCTCAATTTCTGTATACACATACAATTACATATATAAATATGCGCGATATATATTTACATTTTAAATTTAAGCAATTATAGTGCATTATAATATCCTTGATGTGCTAATAAACGTTATGCTGCTATTGTATGCGATGTCTTGAGTCATTTTGTCGCTTCTGTTTTTCCTCTGAGCTTTCGTAAAACTTTGGTCCTTTAATGTAGCAGAGAGTACGAGAGAGGGAGAAAGAGAAAGTGCAGATTCGTTCTTTTTAGGTGTATTATAATCTTTGCTAAGATTTATTTTGTCATTAGGGTAATAATAGGTAGTCATAACAGTATTTTAATATTTCTCTCGAATCAACATTTTTAATTTTTGACAAAATTCATTTTTCTAATCATTTCTCATAAAGTTTAGTCCGGAAAGAGAGGAAAATTGTTTCAATATTTTATGCGACTGGTAATTTGTTCTATCATTATCTTATAAATATATACCTATATATTCTAAGAAATTATGGTTGTATAAAAGCACATTCGCACATTTTATGGTAAGTTGCAATACGATGTGTAATATTTAAAGTTTTCGATATATATCTGATTAATCCAGAATGCAGTGATGTTGTCGGATTAACCCAAAACTATGTACATATGTACGGAATAAGAGTGACGATTTATTAACTAAACGTTTGGCAAAAGGGAGATTATTTGTGATATTGTCTAAAGAACAGCGCTGCGTTTACACTTTATATGTGCATGTTTTGCGATTTCGTTGTTCAACTTCTGTGGCTGCATACTCTGAATATTATATTTTTAGTGATTAACTGCGTAATAGTCTTATGTATTGTATATATCTGTCATGTCCAGCGTGAGTATGAAGCGTGCGATTAAGATTCGTATGCAAAATATTATAAAGTGTATATCGTAACGAAAGATAAGGCGAAACTAAAGTGAGGTGAGTTCCCACGAATAATAAGTTATTAAATTTTGTTTATCTATATATATAGAGTGAGAAATTATTAATTTATACAATATAATGTGAATAAGGCCTTATGTATTAACAAAATCAAATTATATAATAAAAGTGTGTTATTAAGCCGATGCTGTATGTTCGTGCTTGTATTTATTTGTTTATTTCAGATGACATACGTTTCGGTTACAGTTTTTGCCTTTTCAATATATATGATATCAAGACTTTGAATTTTGAAAAGAGTCAAAACTATGATCGAAACATACATCAGTTGAAATAATGTAAACACGCATGAATATTCAGCGTTGGCCTAATAGTCCACTTTCATTATACAATTTGAATGAATTAATATAGATATTGCAATATGCATTTTTAAAGCTCACATAAATGATGAAATTGCGCTATATATTCCTCTCACGTTTCGTACGATACGCAGAATTCGAAGTAGATACGCGAATGCCGTATCTACTGATAAGACTCTCGGACTATATGAAATGCACTCTTTATCAAAAATTATAAGTCATTCATACACCTTTTCTCAAGATAAAGACAAATTCTCACTGCTTTCTATAAACTATCTTTTATCTACTATTCTATTATTCGATCGAAGTTCTATTATTTAGTGAACTAAGTTATTATAATCTCAACATATCTATTTCAGTCCAGTCAGACAATTATGTATTTTAATATAAATCACACTTGGTGACTGGAAAGTGGACGGTTAATGCACTGCTTACAGTAAGACGAACGATATTATGACATCCGGTAGGGTACGCGTTACAAGTGAATACAACCTGACCATACGTTCCCAACCGCGTTAACTTGTAATGAGATATGGCAATTGCGTAGACACACGGTGTACGATCTTCTTGCATGTGGTAGTTGTGACCGATAAACGCCGTGAGAAATTAATAATTTTTATTAGTTTATCCGTTTCTGCTTCTTAAAATCTTTCCGTGATTTATTCGATATTTTATAGATATATATCATTTTAATCTTTTTTTTTTTAATTCCATTATCTTTAATTCGCTGCTATTTCGCAATAAAATATATATTTTATTTGTGCTCTTTGTTAGCAAAATGAATCACGATAGACGTAGAACAAACTTGAACAACTCCGAGCTAATCAGCTAAGAGCGAAGCTAAACCGCTCGTCACATAGAAATAGATATTAGATACATGGTTATTGCGCTCTGTCATATGGTGAAAAAAAAATCTGCAATCTGCGGCTCCAATCACTCGTCGGACGAACCGGAATGCACTTTCAGGCAGCTAGTTAACCTTTCTCATTGTACTCCGTATATGACCGTAACGGAAAGCATGTGGCTGCCTT